TGTATCGACATATCAGTCGCAGCCTTGATTTAGATTTATGATGAGGAAAGTTTTTTTCTTTTTATTACAAAAAAAATCTTAATTAAACTTATTTTGAAAAGACATAGAGCCACCTTCTCCCATTAATGCAGCAGCACTGTAATCACTGCCAAGTCATTTGAGCTACCCTTGAAATACCTGGGTGAGGCAAGCAGCAATAAATCACTGACTGAATAAGCAGTTAGTCATGTAAGCGGCTGATCACTGAACCACCTTGAACACATGTAGCCAAGAAGAGAGAACCTGAGACATCAGAAGGACCCCGCATCACAGATGGCTGTCAAAATATCTATAATAAATAACCACATCAACTGCAGTGGTGGTATTGGGTTGGGCAACTTGATTACACACAAGCATACACGCTTTATTGCTCAAAGATAGTTTTGGTTAAACAACCATGTGTGGTTGGCATATTTAGGATAAATGGTGGTTGAGAAGTCCATCATTATGCTTAAGTGGCAGTTTCTAGTGTGGCATTATGAATAATTAATATGACAATGCTTGGCTATATCAACATTTCCATTACCATTTTCTAAATGCCACTCACTTCCATAAAAGACAATGTGCAGTGCACATTTTTGCTGAATGGAGACGCTAAGTCTGAGTGCTATGAAGTTTCAGTTTGAAGCTGCACTGCCTTATAATTGATTTTCCTTGCTTTAATCGTCTATTTGATTCTATAAAAACAAGACATGCAATGGGTAGGTACTTACATGGATGAATGTACGGTAGCATATAAAGGAAAGTCATTATTTTTACCACAACGCAAGATTTCGAAAAATATGACATAGAATGTACAAAATTGTTTATAATCGGGAAGAGTTGGAATGTCAATGTTTCTTCATGGCAAAGTTACCAAAATAACTAACAATTCGGTTATTGCTTGTAACAAATACACAATGAGTTTTAATATAGCTTTGCTCCTCATCAGCAGAACATGGGTTCCTCTCTTTTTAATTAAAAAGGTTGAATTTGACTTAAAATACAAACTCGGTCTAACCTTAACAGATAAAAGGCTACTACTACTACTACCGTCTTCCAGATAGCACAAATCAAGCTCATCTTAATAATTCTGCAATGATTTTAAAACTCACAAAATCACACTTTGCGAGCTGAACAGTTACTGAGCCTGACTGAATGATAGGATACAATATAATGATTCCCAAGGAGAAACTTGTCTTGGATTTGCAGCACTGCTGGTCCACCATAATTAACACCATATTGTTATTTTTCTTTTAACAGGGTGATATCACAAAGTCAGTTTGTTTCCCTCTGCGACTCAAGCTGTGAAACAAGTGTTATTTACCAAGCAATGAAAATATCCTCTTTCTTCAAAAGGATCTGAGGTGAGACCTAAAGTGGGAAGAAATGTATCCGTTGGCTCATTATTTTTCCTGCCACTGGACACCCACTTACAACATGGTTACAATTAAATGGTGAAGACAGAGTTTAAAATAAGTAAACACTTAAAGTGCTTATTACTCAGTTCTGCAACATTTTCTATTGTTATCCATAGGCTCAGCATGTCCGAAAAAGTCATTACTTTGCCAAAGTAAAGACACAGTGAATTTGGTGATATATTTAAAATAACAAGGGTTCGAAATATTCCAAGTAAGAAGGTTTGGTAGGGTGTGTGCAGATTTTGGGTGGAGTATCACATTAAGTTCCCTATTCAGCAACCATCACATTTAGAGATCTGCAAAAGTGGTATTTTGCAACAGTGCACATAGTATTTCCGTGGAAACGTCTCCACATGCGAGTTTCGATGTGCCATTAGCTTGTACCCACTCAGTACAAAACATAGTCCTACACACCCCCACCACGAAATATGTTCAACAAACACCTTGACTGAAGCCAGGTTAATGTGCACTGTTATTAAAGCTGTTACAATGAGAATGTGGTTGGTTTTGTCCCGACCACATCCTCCCATCTTTTTGAGAAGCAGTTCAACAAGAACTGAGGGCGCTGCTGACTGACAGTGTGAAACACGCTGCCTTGTTAACACTGGTCCACCCCTTCACATCCCCCTTCTCAGTGCAACATTCAATCACTCATGGCTTTCAAAAGTATAAACAACTGCCTTGAAGGACATATTGGCATGCAGACAAGGGCAAGGCTTGCTGCATACTTAATTTCCCTGATAGCCTCAGAAAGGAATTTCTGAGTTACATTACAAAATAAGTGATAATGGCATCCTATGTTTACCTTCTCCATCTATTAAATAATTTACCAATTTGGGATCGATAAAGTATCTATCCATCTATCTATCTATCTATCTAAAGCGACATTTACTCATGTATCTTACATTTTTAACATCACTTTTCAATGTCCACATTATTAATACAGTGTTGTTATGTAACAAGGAACAAACATCAGTGAATTAGAAATCAACATCAAGTCAGTCTTTTCCAAATATGATCTCTAACATTTTGGTTTGTTAGTGTTTATGTACTGTAGCATAGCAACTTTATTAAATAATAGCAACTTTATTAAATAAGTTTTCTGTCTTGACTAAGAATTGCCCTTCCTGCATCAAACCAAACCTTGGTAACAGTCAATGTTCTCTTAGCGTTAACTTAACATGACATTAATTTATGGCTTCAACCAATTGGAAGTCTCTGCTGTGACTCACTTGCTGTTTATCCGTCCGTGTGCTGTGTTGCTAAAGAAACGCCAGAAAATCTTTTAACGCTGACTTGACGTGCACTTCCCTTTTTTCTAATGTCCTGTCATAAAGGCTTTGATTGTCGTGCGATATGGCACTTATTAAATTTAAATCATCGGGCATTTTAAAATGAGTTCTTGCCTGCATGGATACCCTGGCACTAGACAACCATGATAAACTATGAAAGGTTTTATAAAGAAGCCTTTCGTTGTCTCCTCTTTCAAAAAAGGTTTTAAGGGGAATCCAAAATGTCCTCAAAAAGGAGAGAAAAATCGAAATGTCTTATTCAAATAAGCTTCCTCACATTTTCACAATCTATAGCTCACATAAGTGGACACATCATTGAAACAAATCACACTCAAATGAGCTGGGAACTGAGACAGCTTCTTGTGTAGTGAGAGATTACTTGGAACGTTATAAGGCAGAAATGTCAACATAAGCCCATCAATCTCCAGGCAGAGGGCACATCTAAGTTCAGCACCTACAATGTGCCAAGAATGTGTTGCCAGTAATACCTGCTGACAATACGGTGCACAGCTGAACCCCGTCCACTGCCAGACACTGTACCCAAAGCTGGGAAATCTCTCCAAAGCATCAAATCAAAGACCTAATAATGATATTGATTTGCACATGGTAAAAGATTTAGCCCACCAAATTCACTTAAACACACCATACTATACTATTTGAGTGCTATTCAAGAAATTCCTTACGCAGCTCATGCATTTTAATGTAGCTGGCCCTAGAGGGAATACAGTCCCTGAGCCTGACTACGGTACTAATTTACTGACCTCTAAAAGCCAAATGCAAACAACATCAAAACAAGAGCCGTCCATTTCTGACATCTCTGTCAGGATAGGATGTCCACACTACGGTAATGTTCTGTGGGGATAGACTGCCATTATTGTGAAGATAATTTAATAATGTAAAAAATAATGAATCCTTTGTTTATTCAAACAAAGCAACTTCCCTTCACCTTTTTCAAATGTCTTCATTTACAATTATATGGCTGACATTATGACAGCTACAGCAGTAGAGGCTGTGAACGTATAGTACGGTGTTGCTGACATTAGCTACAGAAAATGTTTCAAAGGCTTTCAACATACAGTAGATTGATGCAATGCGAGGAAGTGTCATCATCTTTGTAAACCCTTAAGCAATACTACCAACGTTCACACCAGTGAGACAGGTAAAGTAAAGTGCAAAGCTTTAGACTGGAGTTAGACTAATCCAAATAGACTCAAAATGTGAATCTGTTAAAAGGTGTGTTGGTTATTTGCATATCCCTCTGAAACGTGTGCATTTCAGCAGTTATGAAGAGCACCAAGAATCAGCACCTGGAGCAGGTTAAGCCTAGAGTGGCTGTCGGGATATTCTTTCATTTCCTAAGTTTCCTTCATAGTCATTTTAGATATGTTGTTATGTTACTAATTATTGTATGTATATCATGCTAACAGTATGCAACACTCTAACCATGTTTAGGCAGAACCTACCAATAAATCTGTGTAAGTGTTAAGTCAACATACAGAACATTGAGGAGCCCTGCATAATATTGTATTACCAGTAGTCAGTATCAGTATCATGCTACATTATTTGCTGCAGTACTGTACAAGCTGAACTGTATACATACATACATATTATATAGTATGTATATTGCAAATGTTATTGCATGGTATTCACTGTCTTTGCTGTTGAGCTCTCTTTGAAAACACTATTCATTAATCTCAGTCACCTTGAATACATGTGCAATCTTTATTTTATAATGTTCAAATATCTGTGAAACATGTCTGTGTTAGCGTCTGCATTGTTAAAATAATGGCCATTTAAACCACATGCTTCTTGTTGTATGAGTTGAGCATTTACAATTGTTTCTGACATACATTTCACTGCATTACTTCTCTGCTGTAGCAAATGTTTCCCTTCTGGAAACTATAAAGAGAATCCCATTTTATGTTGTCTTTACAGGCATGTAGACAAAGCTACATTACTGGCATTCAAAATCAGTAAAGAGAAGTTCTGCTATACTTCTGTGCAATATATTAAGACAAAGTACAGGATGTGCTTCTGGTGTTCACATGACCGGCCTCTATTGTGAAAACCACCTATTTAACTGAAATGTAACGTGTAACCATGTAATAGGCGAGGTTAATAACAAGCAGCAAAAGAAGCTACAAAAGAGATGAATAATAAAGCAAGGGGGTTTGAATTGTAACTCCCAACACCTATGTCCGGTGTAGATGTGCCAGCTAGCTTACCATATTGAATGACAAAACCCGGAGACTTTAACTTCAATGTTTACCTTGATAATGCTGCTCCTGCGTGGTATTTCTGATTTGCCATCCAATCCGACAGAGGTGTTGGCGCTTTCCCCGGTTTGGTTGCCAGGTGCGACGATGGACCCTGAGCCGACCATATTTTCTGATATCCCACAATCTCCATTCAAGACGGACACTTCGCAATGCGTCTTCCCAGCTGCTTCGTCGCTGGGCACGGCCGTATCCTCAAGATTCAATGGAGGCAGGCAGCCGTCCTCCCCAAACTCCGCCATAGGCACTTCTAGCACACACACAGACACACAAGCTGCTGGGTAGCAAAGCCTTATGTATCAGCTTTACACCAATTTCCTGCCTGGCCTATTGCCCTGTTTTAACATTTGCACGCGAGTCTTCTGCCATATCATCTCTCGGTGCACATATCTGTCAGGATCCTACAGACAGAGGGGCTTGCTCCGTGCACTGTGCTCTGTAAAGAGAAACCCCAGTGATTAGCATAATTAAGCAGCATGACATTAGTAACAGAAAATAGTAACAGCAATTCAGCGTTACGAAGGAGAAGCGTTCACATGTTGTGTTCACTGAAAGCGGATGTTAACTTGAATCAGTGAAGGATGTCAATGCAAATGCAGCAGGATGTACGCGTGTGCTTTACTATGTGTACGGGCTTTGTTGCATTTTTCTATAAGTTTACCGTGTGTAGCATACTTCAACCGTGTTCACTTCACAGACCGATCCATTGATTTTGCCTTAACCGTTGTAAACCCAGCCTCTTCAGTATGTCAGCAATCGGTAACGTTAAGTTAAATAATACTAAAAGCATGTTAAGTTATAGGTCAGTCCACTCTGCAACAAAACTCACGATTAGCCTATTGTAACACACGGATATGTTTGTACTTGCCTTGTTTCTCCATGGGCAGGACGGTCTTCATAAGTTGTTGCTGCAACTGGGCAAACAGACAGACTGCCGATTGCTGTCTATGTGCGGAGCTAGGAAGCCTGGCTAGCTTGCTCGGTGAAGTTAGTTTTCCAAGCCAAAATAAAAGTCCATTCAAAACAACCCTATGATGTTAGCCCGGTTCAGCTAACGAAGGAAGGAATGCCCTCCCCCGCCAGTCAGTATCGACAGTTAAAAAGAAAAACGACACTTTGCATAATTCATTACATCTCTATAAACCGTCGCTCAGGGGAGTCGTCTACAAAGTTGTGTATGTCTCGTGAACGCGCAACAGTCAACACAGGCTGTGTTGTCAATCAAACCTAATTATTATTTTTGCCTAAAGACAAGAAACGCCCCTTTAATTTTTGAAGAACAAATCAACCCGGATACCGGGTTCAACATTTTGCCTCACAGACCTCAGACGCGTTCATTGTGGTGTGTAATTATATTGATATACATTTTGATCGTATAGGGACAGGTGGCTTCATCATATGAACCAATACCACAGCAGTGGTGTAAAGTAAGATAAGATAAGATGGTACTTTATTGATCCCAATTTGGGAAATGTTTGTGTTACAGCAGCATAAGAAGACAAGGCAATGTACAATACCATAACAATTCAAAGACTAGAAATAAGCAAGAAAGTAGAACATATACATGTTGAATTTAACAAGGTATTATATATACAAATATATATATATACATACATATATGACAGAAGGAATATTAATATGACAGATTATATAAAGGTCAAATGTACAATGTGGTTTTATTCCAAGAGAAACTATGGAGCAGAGAGTTCTCTTCCAGCCAGAGGTGATTTATTGTAACTAAGTAGATTTACTCAAGTACTGTGCTTGAGTACAATTCTGATGGACTTGTACTTTACTTGAGTATTTACATGTGTTGGTACTTCTACCCCACTACAAATTACAGTTAAGTCGTGTACTTTTACTTCATGTAGCCTATTTAATACCTTTAGTTACTTTGCAGATTTGGATAAATTATGTGAAATACAAACACTTAAATAAGACTTTAATTAGACCTGGAGTAAAATTATCTACAGCATTAATTAGGTAAAATTAGGTGCACCTTTACCAGCTTTGATAACCCTTTTAATGCATCAATAATTATAAACAACATACATCAAATGTTATTCTAAAATGGGCCAATTTGCACAATGAGTACTTTTAGTTTGGTACTTTCAGTATATTTTGATGCTAACACTTGTGTACTTCTTACACTCTAGTAGTTTTACTTTTACTTACCTACTTTTACTTAGTACAACATCTGAGTACTTCTTCCACATCTGCACATACGCTTTCCTTGGGGTAATAGGTGTGTGTTTCTTTGTTAATATACATTTTGATCGTATAGGGACAGGTGGCTTTAGCATATGAACCAATTCCATAGCATTCACAGTTAAACATAGTTTGCAATGCGTGTTAGTGGGCATTTAAAATGTCTATACTGTACGTACATTAAAAGAGAGTATTTTCGTACAGCACACAACCTAAAAGAATAACTTCAAAACAAAAAAGTCAACATTTGAATAGGCTACAAACAACACACAAGTCAACAAGAAAATCCAAAGAACAGAAACTTCAACAAGAAATTAGCCTAAAGACAACACATAAGTCAACAAGAAAATACATTAAAAACAACACAAAATTCAACATGAATAGGAATAGACATAAAATAAACATAAAATAATCCAATAAGAAAAACATTGCAAAGCATAAAAGATGTTTATTTTTTAAACATTTCTGAATATGCTCAATTAAAAACGTACTGACACAAGTTATATACAAAAAAAACTAACTGCTGAGTTACTTTCACTAGTAATTCCAGGAAACGTAGTGCTGTTCAAACTAAAAAGGCAGATCACAGAAAAAAAAGATGAAAGTGCTCTAAACAGAACAAGAGTGAAAGTTACACTGAAAGCTTTCAATGGGTTAAAACGCAGACCTCTCTGGAACTAAATCCTGGGGGTAAACCAATATACCGACTAATTAAAGGCTTTATATATAACGTAACTTATTTTCTGCATTGTGTGGCTGTACATCATCTCCTTTTCTTTATTATTAATAGTGTTGCTTTTTGATGTGCTTTATTCAGAGGCTTCTTATGACATCTCTCAAGGGCAGCCATTACCCCTTAGAACGGCTCACATGACTTTTTTGTCAGGTCACACCCTCACATTGTGTCAGGTCTTCCTCTTTATGTAGACAGTGCATTGAGAGGATTAACCAACCTCGATGGTGGAGTAATATCCTTCTCTGAATAACTGCCTGTGCACATTAACCTATGTGACCAAGCAGAGTTATAACATCAAGCATCAATTCTTAAAGATGGCTTTGAAGTATTAGCCACACAGGATAGAACACATATCCTCGATGTAGTTCATATAGCCTTTGATATAGCCTCTTGTATAGGAGACACAGAGAGTGAGTGGTGAGGCATAACATTGTTCTACATGATTTAACGCATGTTATTCATAGACCACTGGTTCAGATGAAGGCAGATACACTAAACTGGGATACAAAAGCAGGATGAATGGGGACCTGTACAACAGAGCCATCTGCTGGTCTACAAGTGATGGCGATTGTTCTGGTTATTGAAAAGTGCATAAGTTCCTAAAATGCTATATATCCTTTTTGGAAAAATCACTGCCAAAGTTGATATTTTTAGCAACATTTTAAACTTCCAACAGTTTTGGCCTTTTCCCCCTTAAGCATTGTCTAATTTTGACACCTGTGCCTATATCACCTGGTTGTGAACATGTCAAAGTAATTGTTTTCTCAGGCCCCAATAAGTTAACTTATGGACTACCTATGTAAATGTATTATATTTTCAATTTAAACACGGCATCTATTGCACGTCTGTCCGTCCTGAGAGAGGGATCCCTCCTTGAGGTTTCTTCAATTTTTCCCCATTAACTGTGGGGTTTCTTTGAAAGTTTCTACTTGTCCGAAGTGAGGGTCCAAGGACAGGTGTCTTATTGATATTCTGTATAAACTTTAAAGTCCACTGAGACACATGTAACATTTGTGATATTGGCTATATAAATAGAAATTGATTGATTATTTGATTGAATTCCATAGAAAGAAATACAAATGTTGTTACACATGTTTTTTGTTTTTTTGCTGTTTCTGCTACTCCAGTCCTGTTGGCTATATCAACCCAACAGTATCATGCAAAGTATTGAGGAAGAACTGAACCCCAGGCTTAGAACATAGATCTAGTGTCAGCCAGCCTAGATTCTATGAGACAAATAACATTAATTTATTCAACGTTGATATTTAAAGAAAATTACATTGCAGTCTTGACAAGACGAACATGCTGTGAAAGTTGGAGTACTGTGATGATAGTTACCTCACTTTCATTTCTGCATAATTGATGTGTATTATATCAGCATGTGTGAGAGTTGTTTTTGAATAAACTAAAGCCAATAGCACAGTTTATCAAAAACCCTTATCATTTTAAATGTTGTAACATTTAAATTCATCCAAGGGGGTGGAATAATCTTGAAAATGTAAGATGGCATTAAAGGGAACATTTAGATATTTAAATCCATGTCCCTTGATTAAGAATCTCTTATCTTTGGTCTCACTTATGATAATGTTCATAATGTACAGTATTGGTGTGTGTAATTATGGCTCCGGAAATGTCTTTGCTGTAGTTTGAAAGTGCAAAATGTAGACTTCTTAATATCATTAGATATGGGAATGTGAGTCTACAAACTCATATCGACTAACTGTCAAATGTCTGTTGAGCTTCACTGAGCAACTAACCTGATGTTACTGTTGGCTGCTGCATAAGGCAATAAGCAACATAACCACAGCATTGGTTGCCCTAACTAACCTAATCCTTGTTAGAGCATTGCTGTAGTTCAGATCAGCAGAAGTATTCTTTTCTTTGGCCATTTGGTGGCAGTGCAACAAGCTTTAACATTGAGTTATTGTCAGTTTATAAAGTTGACATGTTGATGATCTCTGATCCCAAATAATTGTCTATTTACACAATCAGCAGACAAGGAGAAGCATTAGCATCCACTGTCCATTGTGTGTCTTAGGCTCTTTGTACTGGCACTGTTGATGTAATTATAAACAAAATTGCCACTGGACGTTGTCACATGCATGATATATAGAGAGAAGAATGACATTAACTAAAGCAACATTTATATGCTTCACTTTAATCAAACAGAACAAACAACAAACCTTGAATTTTAAAATAGCCTTTATTCTATGATTATGTGTATGATTGATATAGTTGATACATATTATCTTGAGTATGGGTGGATTATCAGTATAATTATATTTCTGCTTGAGCTGACATTTTTTGCACATTTTAACATTCATGCCAAAGTACCATATATGACAAACTTAAAGTGGACCTATGTTGGTATATTTGAATAATATATTGTAGGGCCACACCTATGTAAAACATGTCTGTGAAGTTTTTTTTTCAAAATACCAAACAGATCATGTATTTTAGCCATGCCTCATTTCGCTCTATTTGCTGTATTCCAGCCCTGTTTTTGCAAGGGCTGATTCTGTGGCAAATGAGCTGCAGCTGACCCACGCCCCCCTCCACGAGCGTCATGTTACCATGCTGTTACCATGCTGTTACCATGCCACTGCAACCTCTCATTCCCCTGATAGGTGGAGAGTTGCCCATATAGGCGGAGCACCCCGTTTCTGACATCAGAACAATTTCAAATCTGTATCAGTCTGTATAAGCTCCGTTGCAGCCCCCGTTTTTAGAGATTTGGGTACAGAGAAAAGAGAGAAAGGGTTGGTGTTTTCTGAGACATACACACACACAGACACACCGGGGACACATATTCATGTATAAAAGACGTACAAAAGTGCATTTTGCATGATAGGTCCCCTTTAAAGATTGCAGAGGTTAATTCAAATACAACAAAGGGAATATTTAAGAAAATTCTGATGAAGAATATCTATAGGCTTATATTTTAAACCCCTACCAAAACATCAGTACTAACTATAGTTGTACTTGTGTCATTTATATATCATCGTAAGCTTAAATTGATTATATATATAAAGTAGAATGCTTGGTAAAGCAAAGAATCAACACGGATGTAATTAGTCTGAACATTTTAGGTGCTGCAGATTCACCAGCTGATCTTTAGGTTATTGGGATGATTTCAGTGGTGCAGTTGCATGCAGCTGGACACCAGGCTTTCACCAGCCCATTGGTGCATCCATCCTGGTTTTTCAAGGTTGGACAGTTGAGGTATTTGTTAATGTAAAGACATGGGTTGGC